CCCCTTATTCCGCAATCTTTGGGCGTCCATAGGATGGATCTCTCATCCCTTCACAAGGGCCATATCAGACCCATCTAGATTGATGATTTACTTCTGGATAAGAACTTTTGTTTTCTTGTCCAAATCTAGATTGATGATTCAATCATTCAATCATGCCTATGGTGGATGGGCTCATATCAGACCCATCAATGGGCTTGGAAAGATTGAGCCCATTTTGTTTCATTGGCAGGAACTATTCTGAGTAGCTGATTTTTTTGGTTAGAACCATAGTTTTAAAAAACGATCCAGAAACAACGGAATTGTTCTGGCCACTAGTTTCTGGGTCAACAGTTTGATTGTCTGGTTCGAACAAATGATTCATTCTGATAAAAAAAATTAAAAAATAGAAAGGCCAAAAGTCGTTCAATGGGTTGACGGGTCAGCGGTTTGACCACCTGGATCAATGATTCGTTGACTAATTTAATGGTTTTTTGCGAGAGACCGGATTTGGGGTAAAACGGAACCAATTGCCTGAACGGTTTCTGAGTCGAACGGTCCAACCATCCGAGTCAATGGCGGTTTGAAAACCATTGTTAGAACTATTGCAGTTAGTTACTATCAGGGACCCGTGGGGTGTATAGAAAACATGGTTAGAACTATTTTAACTTTTTAACAATTAGCTTGTGTTTGTTATGGGTGTAAATTTCATCGATGGAGTTCAACGTTGATGGGTATTAGTGAATCGTTGGAACGTTTTTAAAGTGCGATAATCAATGTAATAATACACCGATTTTGGAAAACTCAACCAATGTATGAAAATGCATATTGGAAGTGGAGTTTTACACTAGTCTATGTTTATACTGAAATACTAGACAGTGGAGTGGAATTTTATGTCAATTTGCATTTACACTACAAACAGACACAACCTTAATAATTCTTTATCTTTGTTCATCAAACCGATCGACCAATTGACCAGCCCAACCTAACTAGACCCGAGTTGGTCGATTTTCTAACTTGACCAGGTGAGGTCAATTTTGGTTTGGCCATTTGTAAACCGATCAAAATTGAAACAACCCAACCATTATATATATATATATATATATATATATATATTTAATATGAAAAAAGAAGAAAATTCCCATATTGCTTAGTCTAAATTATTTCATATTATAAATTTAATTTTTTAATTTATTATTTTAATAATACCATTGCAACTTTTAAACTTAAATTTAACTTTTTTTAGTTTAAATCTTTTGAACCTACAGAACAAACAGAAAATTGACCCAAACCAATACAACCCAAGTTGGAGGGTAAATTCTAGCAATCTATCATATTTTATGGAGTTTCACTATTTTGTGAAAATTTGTGTCTGTAATTTGTATTATTTTATGATATTTTTTGACAACTAATGGTAATTTATTTTGGTTATTATAAAATTTTATATGGAACTTTATTGGTAAGTTATGGTAATTTATCGTATTTTATCAAATTAATGGTAATTTAAAGATTTAAGGATAAGATTATTGTAATATAGTTGTATTTATTAAATATATTAATAGCATTTATTAACATTAATTACTAATAGTATTTATTAAATTAACAGTATTTATCAACATTATTTATTAAAATTAAAAATATATTTATATATATTAACAGTTTTTGTTAATATTAACAAATATATTTTTATTTATTAATAAATATATTTTCAGCAAGTTATACCCTTATTTATGGTAATTTTTGGTAATTTTACTTTAAAAAATACCAATATTAATGAATATTATTTAATATAACACTATATATTTTAATTTAACATTATTTACTAAATATTTTAAGAGAATTTATTAATAGTATTTACATTAAAAATTACTAATATTAATTAACAGTATTTGCTCTTATTTTTACTATTATTATTAGTTCTGGAATGTTTTTACTATTAAATTTCTATTAACAGTAACTATTAAATTTCTATTTGTTAATAAAAAAGCTACCAAAATACTTTAAAATTTACGAAAACTACAAAAAGTACTATGAATATTTCCAAAAATTACCAAAAAATCAACCATAATAACTTAAAGATAACGTAAATGAGTACAGTTATATTATTTAATAAATCAATAACTTCCCAAAAATACTAATAACTAATAAAACATAATTACAGATAATTTGTGCCAATTACAGACATTTCTAGTAATTTTGTTATTTTCCCGATAAATTGAAAATTACTGGTAATTTCTAGTAACTTGTTATTTTCCTGGTAGATTTAAAGTTACTGGTAATTTTGAATATCTATACTTAATTTCTGGTAATTACTGATAATATTAACAATTTTATTGATGATTTTCGATAATTTTCAATAATTACTAATAATTTACCAATAAATAATTCAAGGCAAAGAAAAATATATAAACAACTACTAAAATTGAAAATAATTTATGGTAATTACCAATGATTTTTGATAATTTTTGCTAATTTCTGGTAATTTTTGATAACTTCTAGTAATTTATGGTAATTTTTGATAATTTACTAATTATTAATAACTTATAATTACTGATAATTTATTCCAATTACAGACAATTTCTAGTAATTTTTTTACTTTCCTGATAAATTGAAAATTACTAGTAATGTCTAGATTTTTTTTATTTTCCTGGTAAATTGAAAGTTACTGGTAATTTTGAATAGACACACTTAATTTCTTGTAATTACTGATAATATTAACATTTTATTGATAATTTCTGGTATTTTTCAATAAGGGTAATTGTCTAAAACTCACCATGAGTTTTCAACATTTCTCTTAAACTCACCACAACTTTTCAAAATGTCTAAAACTTACCATGTCAATAAGTTTTTATTTTCCAAAACTCACCTTCCGTTAGTGCACCACTAGTGTGTGTACTATATCCCTGAGGAATTCTGAATGAGGTGCCCGCAACACGGTGAGATGGCAACAGATGCTCGGCCCAGCGAGATTTGTGTGTACGAGTACAATTTGGAAGCCGGGCTGAGGTTTCCTCTAAACGAAGGGGTTGTCGAGGTACTTGCATGGTACCAAGTATTGCCG